GTGAACTTTTAGAAAGGCATCAGTTATCCTTCTTCTAATCGCAATTAAGCCATTATTTTTAAAATTGTGGCAGTTTGTTGAAAATTACACCTACATCTTTTTAAACTTCCGCACTGTAAAATAATGTATTTGTTTTACAAATGCCTCATTACTATTTCTAAGACCAGATCAAAGAAATAAAGATATCATTTTGCATGTTAATATGTCCAATGCATCAAACAATCCATCTTTCCGTCCGTCCGCACAGTGGATCAACAGACCTTCGCAATTTATTCACCCTTTCCTTGTCCAGCTCACAGAGATTTGCTAGTTTCAACTACTTCTTTTTCTTAATACAACACAATACTGCTTGTGAGTTAACATTCGCCCTTTGTCAATTTCTTTCCGAACTATCTCGTTTTAGCCTATTGTAACGTACCAGTTAAATTTGACGAAATTACAAAGATCCATTAATATTACTATTTCTACGAATTAACTTTGTTTAACAAAAATATTTTTACTTTCTTTTTTATAATTCGTAAATTTATAGTGAAGAGACCGCTTGCCAAGCCGTTGGTCGTAGATTCGAGTCTCACATGTGTCCTTTTTTTCAATCATAAATACATGCCAACTTATTTGAACTTGTTACGTTAATTATAAAAATATCATTACTTAATTCAACACCTATCTTTGTGCTGTCTTTGTGTTTGTTCATGCGTGTTAAGCAAAAGTCACATAAACCTATTATTCATTTTAGTAGAACGTGACTTATTACAGACGTTGTCAATAATGTAAGAAAACAGTTCCCCATTCAATAAGAACAATTCCCCATGACATATTGCGTTTACCTAAAAAGCCTACGAACTTGGCATGCCACCCCAACAGCGGACCGTCAACAAAAACAAGTTACTAATAATGAAATATGTGCGGCTCGGCTGCTGACCGTACTTCTAATACGTCGTAAATTTTTATTGCTACGTTTGTTTTCCTCACCGATTCCAAGCTATTTCAATATTCGGTTGCTTTGTGACAATTTCCCATCTACCAAATATGGTGGAAAGGAACAAACTTAGCTACTATATCTTTACATAGACAATAATTATAAAATCAATAGTAAAACATCTCATTAAATTTAGTTTAAAGTGTAAATTTATAGATTTTGCCAGCTTGTACATTTAGATTATATATTGATCGCGTTCCGAATCATAGACTACAGTCATATTTGGATAATAGACTATAATTCATTGAGAAGCAAGCCATAGACTACAAAGACCTCCTTAGTATGGCGCAAAACGTTTAATTAGGTCATTATAGAGAGGTCAAACAAAACTTGTATTAGATAAACAAGTTAACCGGCGCAGAGCGCAGGTTGGGCGATAAATCTCTTTTTGCCTAATTAAACCTACCCGCCCGCCCTATTCCACCTAGCGAAAACACCTCTTGATCAAACTTTACTATAATTTGTTTGGAATTACGTTGCTTTGAAACTTTAAGCATTAAATAATTTTATTTCAAAAAGTAAAATGGTTTACACAGTACAGTGTGACTAGAGGTTTTATGATATTGTATTTAGGTGTACAAATGCAAAATGCACTACTTTTAGGCTACAAGTGAACAATGGATGGCATCAACACTAAATTACCAACGAAGAATCAATTCAATAACACGTAGTCTTTTAATTTCAACACTTTAAAGCATGGCGTATACACACGACAAACAAAATCGACTAAATTAAATATTTCTGCATACGCATGATACATTACATGTTAAAGAATATTACAGTTCTAAACATCGAAAACAACTTGATGAATTCTTGATGTCGTTGGCATATAAAATGCCTCGTCTAGACAAGATTATATACCCACTAGGCCCTAACCATTAAGTGTTGCCATAACATAAAACGAAGCTTACGACTAAAACCTATTCATAGACAATCAAGAGCTGACCATAACGTGTACCTCTGCCACGATCTCCAATATCTATGATTATTATTACTGCGAGATTTTCTCCCCAAATAGGAAAAGTTAAGTATGCCATTTAGCGCGAGTGACACGTTCTAGGGGCTCCCCGGACCTGAGCCATACAGATATACAGAACCAATTTAAAAGTTATATATATATACGAGTAAGTATATACATATATTGCTCACAACGAAACCAGACTAAGTCATTTTAATAGGATTTTGTATCTGTTTTCAACTAGCTGTTAAAATAAAGATATAATTACTAAGATATTTTTTTTTATTAAATAATGAATTTCAAAACATAGTCTTAATGATTAATGAAATTATGAATTTCTTAATCTAAAATTGTGTGTATTTGTACGACAAGCAAGAATTATTTCACCTAAAGTAAATAAAAATTAATTTCGTCTCAAAGTTCTTAGATTTTAATTACCTGAAAGCAAATTAAATAAGAGGGAAGGCTACGAGCGCCTCCGTGACGTGAAATTACAATTGTTTCTTTCGTTAATTAAACACGACTTTTATAATCGGGGATATAAGGGCTAGCCATTTTACAGCCAAATTTGAAATATACTTTAGATATAATTTCATTTTAAAGAAAATATTAGAGAAAATGTCTTAGAGGTGTAACGTATTTTTATTAATGCTGTAATAATAACATATACTTATAAAATATAAACCTTCTGCATAGCCCATTTAAATAGTGCCCACTGCTGGGACTCGAGATAGGCTCTTGATCCCGTAGGTAGGCGAGTACATTTCTGTTTCAAAACATTCCGAAACAATCTATTGTCTCCCAGGGATTCGAACCAAGGATGTCTCGCGCTTAACGCAATCCTAGGCAACACGTTTAACCATTTAGCTACATAGGCGGTCGTGAAATATTATTATTATTAATAAATAATCAAAATTTGATCGATACAAGGGTGGCAAACATTTTAACAGAAGAAACACAGAATTGAGTTTAAACTCACGTTTTAAACCGTTAAAAGTTATCCGATTCTAATTCATCCCTTTCAAATGTTTCCTATTCATATAATGAGCGTGGATATAATTTTAGCCATTAGCTATGTAGCTAATACGATAACACCCCTCTTAACGCCTTAATCTCACTACAATTATCCTCATTTGCATATAAAATAAATAAATCAACACGCATATGCATTTTTAGTCAATCCTAACCCTTCCACTGCCCGGGTATTATACGATCACATATGATTTATAGCCGAACTATTGAGCGCTGTTGAAAATATTCAGCTAAATTTTGCTAAAAATTATTCTATAGCTAATATTGCTTATACGTAAAGTCAGATGAAGGTTGCTTTAAACATATTAATTATATATTTCTCTAGTGAATTACACTGTCAAGTTAAGTGTCTAATGAAGGTAGAATAACAAAACTATTAGAATATACGTATTGCCTCTGAACTTAATGGTACGAAAAATAATTCTTCTGATTACTAGATTTTGCAGTAGTCTGTAAGTATTGTCTCTAATTTACGCGAGTAGTATACCTTTAAATAATACGTTTTACGCTTTACATGGCTGGTGCAAAGCATCCAAAACGTCGAAATAAACCAAGTAATATACTTTGCGTTTCAAACCGTTAAAAGTGTTTTATATAAATTGATACTTCTTCAGTGCATTAATGTCAAGTGCCTAGGTTGTAAAGGTATTACAAACAAACTCTTAGTATAAGTATTGATTTGGAAAATTGATTAATACGAAAAATAACTTGCTTCGGATTCTTAGATTTTTCTCTATTCTATAAACTACAGACAATGCTTTTACGTCTGTAGTTTACGCTAGTGTCCCACATTTAAATAATACATTTAACGGTTTACACAACTGCTGCAATGCATCCGAAACGTCGAAATATACTAAGTAATATATTTCGCGTTTCAAACCGTCAAAAGTGTTATATTTAACTATTGTGTAAGTATAAATAGAATCGTAGATACAAGTTTTTTTATTTCTTAAATTTTAATCAGAAGTTTCAACACTTGAAATCCCACATCAATTCGTGAAATATTTAATTACGAACTCGCAAAATCTAATAACACGACAATAAATCTCACGTCACGCGTCATATTGTAAGAATAACAATTACAACCCCGTCCCTTGGGCCAAAGTCCCGGGACCTGCAGAGTTAATGAACTAATCGTGATATTAACGATACATTACTGCCAGACTGCTGTAATTACGCAAGGGTTGTCCCTAGCCCCGGCGTTCTGTTTTGACCCCCACTTGCAGTGGAGGGTTAGATCATAATTTTATGACGTAATTTAATGTTGAAGCATCTCGTGACAACGAGAGACTCAATTTGTAGGTGACCCAATCATTAAGTCTGTCAACTTTGGGTAAAGCTCGGTGACGTTTGAAGAAACGAAATAAGAGTACATTTTATCCCTTCAAGCATCAAGAGTTACTAAGAAGCGTCATAATGATCTCTTTGCTTGATAACAGTACGCCACAGATGAAATACAGAAATATACCCTCCCGAGTCCTTGGATTTTAATTTATTAAGAAAAACTATTTTAAACATGCAATATTTTGTGTCAAACATATACAATTATGTATTTTACGTGAAAAGAACTAAATAAACGCAGTTGAATGTTTTATTAAAGTAAATTCATCCATTAATTCCCTAATACAATATTGTTAATCGCATCAAACTGTGTTATAAATAAGAGGGAAGAATTAAAAAAGAATGACTTAATACCAAGCTTTGTTCCTTTTCGAAGATACCGATCTAATGACTTATCAGTCGATTAACCCGTAAAACATACCAGATCATTTTGGCAACTTCAGAGTCGTGATTGATTCGGTTATTTTGATCCGTTAGATTGATTCCGTTTAGTAAAAAGATGTTGTATAAATATATTCAATATCATTCCAAAATATTATGACAAGAAACCTAGTCCATTAACCGATAATATTATATATGCAAATACATACTTATTTCTACATGCTTACATAATGATTGTTGTGATTGCAAGTTAAAATCTGAAAATTGTGCTTTAATAGGCTATTGTTAATAATCATTTATTTGTTTCAGGTTTATAAATGCAAGACGTAGGATAGTTCAGCCAATGATCGACCAGTCAAATAGAGCAGGTAACATTTTTCTTATACGAATATTTATTAATTTTAATCTTGTCAAGTTGGAAATAATCATACACCTATTGTTCTCATCAATTTTGAAAAATGATTATTTTACGAATATTTGAATTACGTTATTGAAAAACAAAAGTTATTCTAGTTGAAATAGGAGATATTATTTCCAACTTAACTTTTTTTACGAATATGGCTAAAATTTACCGCTTCTGTGGCTCATCGGTAGAGTTTCGTTAAGTTGTAAGGGGTAGAATCCCTGACAAATTTAATAAAAATTTTCGGTCGGCCAGAAAAACAGTCACAGGAATGTCTCATATTACACCAAGAAAAAAGGTATACCACTCGTTTTAAATTAGATTTTTATAAAATCTTTGAAATTTTGTGCGTATTATATATAAAATATTGTAACAACTATATCAAGTTGGTTATACACAGATTAACAAATTACTCGTATTTGTATTAAATACTGTCTATAGTTTACGCGAGTATTACACATTTAAATAAAACACTTTAACGGTTTAAAACGCGATATATTAGTTAAACTTATTTGAAAATGATTTTTAACTTTGGCCCGACGTTTCGGATGCTTTGCAGCAGCCGTGCAGCAGTGGTCACGGGGAGACGAAGGAAGTTAAAAATCATTTTCAAATGAGTTTAACTAATATATCGCGTTTTAAACCGTTAAAGTGTTTTATTAAAAATCGTATTTGTATTGATCGATTGCTGATAATAACTAATATGAAAAAGTTTACGTTGAAAATCGGTAGCGTTTAAAAGGAGTCCCCCCCTTCCCGTTGAGTCGGATAAAGGACGCTCAAAATAACCACAGGAGATTACAATAAATTGGGTTCAAACAAAACGGCGGTCCGCTTTAAACTAATGGACCACCACATCAATAAGTCGGCCCACGTCCGAACTGGCTCCACGACTTTGAAGTACGAAATTGAGTTTGCTGACCGTACCTTCATACAGTATGCACGATGCACCTGAATGCCCACGAGACTTACATTTTCGGCGCTGTCCGTACTCCTTTTCTTTTGAAGTCTTAGTAGATACTAAATGAAAGCTCTAAGCGCACTCGAAGGATTTAGTTAACTGACCTACTGAATTGAATATTTGTTATACTAACAATACATTACTATACTTTGTTCAAATTCATTCTACCGTATGCTCTTGAGACTACGCTGCTGTCGGTATCCGGTAGTTATTGCGGCATCGATTACTAATGTATTGATGAAGTTCGCTGTTGCTGACGGTAGTTTTATACACTATGCAAGCTGTATAGTATGACTATTTAAGGTCTATTTCTTTGCTTTTAGTGCCTTGCTTTGGGCATAAGATAACAGTAGTAAAACAAAGAGGTACATTAGGTAAATTTCCAATATTATTTAAAATACATTAGTGAATTAGGATCACATTTTTATCGATATATACCAAATGGCAAACTTTATCGACATCTTTCCAGCACTAGCAACTTTTATCGCGACACATCTGCTAGAGTGGAATAATGAGTAGATTACCAGCACCAACGGATAGTGCAGCTCTGCAATTGTCACAAATTACTCTTTAGATACCTTCTGCTGACGGTACTTTAGAGTCTTTAAGCGAAGGGAATTCAAAGAAGGGAAGGGATGTTTCATTATTGACACACTAACGTCATAGCACACAAAAAATTTAAATCTTTTTTTCTCCGTAGATAAGAAGAAAATATTATTAAATTTAAACACAACAAAGTCTTTCACGCGAGTGGCACAAATTTAAATAAAACACTTTAACCGTTTAAAACGCGATATATATTATTTAAACATATTTGAAAATTATTTTAACTGCTGCAAAGCATCCAAAACGTCGGGCCGTAGTTATTTAAATTGTTAAATTTCCTTGTTTCATGAGGTTTTATACATAAGGCCATGAGAAAATACCTACCAATAAAATAATCCGATATCTTTAATCTCGTGAGCAGCATCAATTGATAAGGCAGCATCATTATCGAAATTGGAAATGGGCCATCATACGTCATTGCGTCACATCCCCCGCGCAGAGACAAAAGCATCTAATCCCCGAATAGGCAAGAATGCCCAAGAATACCCGAGATAGGGTGACCGGTGAATTGTCGGCGCTTGATGGATGGCCACGGACGGGTCAACGAATTCGAACATTATTCTTTTTTACCCTTCTTTTCTGGGCCTTTTTGCGACGCTGCGTCCTTTTTATGTGCTGGTAATACTATATGTATTGTTGGATGCTGATGTTTATGGCTGGATTTTCGGAGTATTGCGCAGTTTTTAACGTTAGATGGATTCGGTGATTTGTCAGTGGTTTAAAGGTTGAATTTCTTAGCAACAGTCATTTGTTTACAATTGTCGGGGCGTTTTTTTTTTTTATTTCTAGTACACAGCCTTTTATTTATTCGGTTCAATCATTATCAACAATTATCAACATTCGGTTTATTCATTTGTGAAGAAAAACATGGCGTGGTATTTTTTTCTTAAATGGTGCTATTGTATTTAATTGTTGAATGTTTAACGAGAATTAATGGCGATTAAATCTTCTAACAGTTAAAATGCATTCATTAATTAAATACACATAGCCAAATAGTTAAACATATTGCCTAGCATTCCGTTAATCGCGGATGGCCTAGATTCGAATCCCGGGAAAACGATGGACTGTGTCGGTGGAGTCTGATCGACTTCTTGCCTGTAAAAAATCTCACACGTGGGGAAACGGAATCTCACTATGGATGTATTATAAACAATATGTTTCACCAATACATATCAGATTCGAACTCGAATTAATGAATTTATTATAAGAGCACAAATTGCCCACTGATGGGCGGCCATTACGGACACGTCAGCATATTACAATACATGCACTCCGCTGATCGATTGAAATGATCCTCCATCAACAATATACTTACTTGAGCCAGACTAATTGTTTTTACAGAGATATTACCAACGAATATCACTGACATTAAATTGGTTGTCTTTTTAAAAAGATGTCAGTCCGTTATAAGAACAATGAGACTTTGTTACAAATATTGGAGGGGGGGGGGGCACTTTATTTTATAATGCCTTAATTGCTTACTCTATAAAATACTACTACAAAAGTAAATATGCGCCCTCGCTCTATATTGATTCCACTCTGCAAAACAAAGGGCGATCCTTCCAGTATCAGTCGGGAAATAAATGGTCGGGAACTTTAAAAAAAGCCATCACAACTTCCTTTAAAATTGCTCACGGCCCATAAAACCTAGTGTTTGCTAACAGGATATAGCTAACTTTCCGACGAAAATAGAAAAACGCGGACAACGGAAAATTGTTTTGGCAATCGCTCGAAGAAAACGAGCACCGCATTTCCTGCGGTCAAGCCGAGCTTATGTATTCCTGGTACGTTCCAACTGCTAAGGGTTATTTTTCCTTTCGTTTCCACCGCTAAAAGGGATCGCCACGTCAAACTAAATGGAAATTGTGTTTTGCGACGTACTGAAATTATAAAGGAGTTTGTTTTTTCACGCTGACGTATTAATTCATTAGTTTCAATATTGTGTTGCGTTACTCTTTTAATATTGCTTAAAATGAGTCGTTTTTTCAGTAAAATTTTTAGGCAGCGTTAAAATGCATTTGACTATTTTTACTGCACGAATTAAATTAAAAATAAGGATTTAAAATAACCTAAAAATTAGGAATATTTCTTGCAAGCGAGTTTAAAGTTTTATTTAAAATTGTCACATAGTGAGTGATAGTGACTAGTACATTATTAAATATAGTAATAGTTACTATACTAGAGATGTCTCAAGTGATGCATGTCTCATACCAGGGGTAGCGGAAACAATAACGGTTCCCCCGGGAGAGGGACCGCTACCAGGAAACTATGATTTAGTGAGCGATAATCTACGTCCTTCACGTGTTATTGCGAAATGCTTCTAAGGCTCTCTGCCATCTTAATGGCTGAACATTTTTTTAAATCATAACATTATTCGTATCGTAAAATTATACTAAAATTAAAAACGATTAAATTATTTTACACAGACTATGTGAGACACCCGGACGACAGAGTTTTAGCACTAGGGTCGAAATTTTCAATACGGAACTCTAAAAATACTACTTCTATGTAAACACTCACATCACACCGAACTTAATAGGGTGTATAAAAGTCGGTTAAAAAAAATTACATCGTTCAATGTTTTTCTCTATCCGCTGATTCCCATTGTATCGACGACGTAAAAACCACTTTAAATCCTAAGTTAATAATTATAATCTATCTTATAAAAGAAATATTTAAGCATGAACGAGTCACGAATGTACAGTAGGGTAAAATTGCAACAAAACATCTATGAGGCTTAGCCGTAAGTTAATATCCAAAGGTTACATAAATATAGACTACGCCATCATGTCTATTTGGGCTAACCAATTAATGTCGCACTTTTGGAGAATATTTGACTGTGCGAGTTTTAAAAAGTACCGCCACTAAATTAGGGATGTCGGTAGTTCTCCCAGGAACTATTACTTCCGTACTCCGTCCACCAGTTTGTGCTCCTTAAAACGATTTCAAATACCGAACCAACGTTTCATGAAGACGGTTAAGTTACAAAATCATTTTGCTGTGCTTCAACAAACCGCATCGAATCTATCAAAGCAAAAACGAATTAAAAGTCAGTGTCTGTTACATGAATTTTTTATACTTATTAATTATTCACGCGAATCATAAGCGTGTAATTAAAGCAAAAAAACTCATTCAACTGTTAAGAATCTTATAACGTTATTAGTTTATTTTTTATATTTCCTTACTAAACAGGTAAAGTTGGGTGCAAAAAATTAATTTGAATATTACAGTGTAATTATCTGGAATAGAATGAAACATTACTATTCCGTAAGTAAAAATTCAACTCAGAAAGGATTCTTTATAAAGTTTAGTAGTAGTATTTAATTTAAGGAATCTTTTTTTTTAAGATTTTTTTCATGAAACAGACGAGACTTGAATTAAACCATAAGGAACTGTGTCGTTACTCTACAGAATACTGTGTAGGTTTATTGAAAATCGAAATATTATTATAAATGCACCTCTGACACTAAGGGGCAACTTAAAAATAATGTAATGCGTAGTTTATATACGCGTCACAAAAAGTTAGTTTAAAATCGATGGATTTTTAAATAATATCTACTTAAATGTAGGTAATATCTTATTGTTTCATTATGGTTAGCATTAAGACAGCGATCCTTATCGCCACTACACGAGTATACATCAAAGTCGTACGTCGCATGCCTTTTGCGAAGTATTTTGAAGTAATTTCAAACACGACATTACATTGCTCTCGTGTTTGCGAGCTCAACGCAATGGCGCGTGCCACCATAAAGACCCCACGAGGAAGGCGGAAATCGGCGTCAATAATGGACGAACACCATTAGTTTACGATTGATAATCCCCGAGGATATATTGCCAGCGGAAGGCATAACAGTTTTGTGGTAAAATTGAGCGGATTCCTGCGAGCGACTTGACAATCGAGAGGATTTTTTCGTTACAAATACGCAACGTCAGCGGGAAGAATAATTTCGAGTTTTATTACTTCTGGGGAATTTTAATGGCAATATTGAATTGATTGCCAACTTTCTTAATTGCGAGCGAACTTGTTGCGTGACGTTATTTGGAAAGTTACGGTAATAGAATATTTGCGTCGGCATAAAAAAGTAATAAAACGTTTCTACCTACGTAGTTATTTGAATATGGAGGTTGCTACCTAACAATAGGTAACTCTTATTATTGTGATTTAAAATTAAGGTAAACCAACACATTTATAGATTCTTCTGATACTACTACTACTAGTTATGAAGCAAATACGGATGGCAAGATAGAAGGAAATACCATTAAATTACAATTAACCATTAGCTATTCGTCACAATTTGTTAGTGACTTTTATACCTGTTATTTAAACTAACTAAACTATAACTCATTATTTTTTATGTGTAGGATGTATATTATAAGCTGCGTACGTTAGATGTAAAAGTGTGTCATAGTTAATTAACGTTAAAAATAAAAATACCATACCTATAACCCAAGACACTAGTATTCTCGTCTTTAGCCATAGTTAAGGTCGCAACAGCAGGTCTAATTAACCATTCAGTATTTTATCCCGCAGTGTTTCCCCATGCGGGTCCGAGCGGCGCCTACAGCCCCGAAGCGACCATGGGCTACATGATGGATGGTCAGCAGATGATGCACAGGCCGCCGACTGACCCCGCCTTCCACCACGGCTATGCGCAGTATCCCGCCGAGTACTACGGACATCACCTCTAATGAAAGAATTTGTACATGTAAGTCTACTTTCGAAATCAACAAGTCCCTTTATTGCTATACAGCAATCATTACCTATACAAATGTTTTTTTTTTCATACCGATGACAGAATACTAAGGAATTATTCTTCTTTCCAGATATGAATATGACACAAAATATTTGGCCTTAGCTCGAGGTCGATAAGTGTCCAAAAATAAGGCTCCAACTAGACTCGCGTCTTTGACGCCATCCGATTAGTCCGAGCTTGTGCGACCGATCGCGTAGACACCGTCTCGATCGCGTCAGACGCGCGACTAGTCGCACCGCAACGCAACCGTGCGAACGGATTAGCACGTGATACGAACAAACAGGAGAACGATGCTATGTACATAATGCTATACGTTTTGTAATATTTGAAACAGTATACGATCTCCTATATTAAGATTTAAAGTCAACTCTAATGTTAAAATTAATGTAAAAAAGTGACACGGTGGACGCTGTATTATACGACTGGTGCAATCACCTAATATAAATATTATAAAAACGGTTTTATCACTCGGAACTATAGGAGCAAGTTGACGAATGTAACAATAAACGGTTTGATAGTTATCGTATAAATATTTATAGCTAATTGTGTATTGTTATTACGTAAATATAAATAAATAATTGAATAGTTGTAAGTTGTAACTATCACAAGTGCTGGGCTCGCTGGAAGGTAATAGGATTTTTGTAAGAGCTGTGTAATGTAGTAGGTTATTTAGTATCATTTTCTGTTTGTGTTTTCATTGTTATGCGGGGACTCGTGGACAGATTTGGACGATCAAGCTTCCGATGAAAATAATTGTTTCATTTGAGTCGCACTACCGCAGTCGCATTTCACCGAAGCCCGTGTGTGCGAGTCCTAACGATATTTGGGAGCAATCATCGAATTGTACATTTCCGTTTCTTCGAATCTGTTACCTATCTCCTTATTTATAGAGCTCAATTTGTAATGTCAATTTTCCTTCAACTTATTTACGCAATTTTGCTTTACAGGTAACATACATATCTTTGAATTGTAAACTATTATATTATATTTATAACGAGTATCATAGTTTCACCTTGCCTTGGTGTTCAATATTATAGCACAATTTGTAACCCATGTATACGATGAGAATAATATTTTACACTGTTGAAACGATGAGATTTTTAGCTATATTTTTGTCTTCAGTAATTGTGAATTGCCTTAACGATGACGTTAATATTGTAAACTCACCTTTATAAAGCAGTGACGAAATAAATATGAATTGTAAAAATCGGTCGTTCTGTTATTCGTAACAAAATAAACGAAAGAAAAGGGGAATGCCCACTTCAGACCAACAAGAGATACACATTAAAATAACCACAACAACATCATTAAAACAATTTTTTGGTTAAAAATAAATATCTTTAATGTGTTAAGACTGGGCATTTCCTTCATTAAATTGGAAACTGTAACTGTAAGTTAAAAGTATCACATGTTATCAATGTCACGGTCTAAAAGAGTATTGCCCAAATGTAATGGATCACCTTTTGCTAAACTCATATTCGAGTCTGCTTAGCGTTTTTAATATCAAGCCATCGTATTTTATCATCGTGGGTATTTACGAAGTCAATTTTTTTTATGTATAGCAATCTTGCATTCGAGTTACTCTAATAAATAATCGATTGGAAAAGTGTTTTTAGATTGGAAAAATCGATGGCACAGGCGGGACTCGTACCCACAACTAACAGCTGTTGCTCTGTCCACTTAACTATATTGTTTTAGTTTCTCTCTATTAAAATAGAAAATATATGAGAGGTACATAAAAAGATCGAGAGTTTTTATGAATTAAGAACCGCCTGTGTTATGGCTTTTTTTAATATAAAATACTTTTTCGATGTACGCATGTGACATTTATAAATGTTCACAAGGATGGCTTATTGTAATAACTAAAGGTGACCATAAATATATTTTAAACTCATGGTAATATCTCATTACCAGCCTTATGCGATGTATACGAATGGGAGCTTCTAAAATTTGACAGAATTTCGATAAAATTTCGGTCGTAACCGCGATTTTTGATAGCTATAGTTATCCGGAATCAAGCTTTATTCTATTACTAATATTGTAGCGTGATTGTTTTTACAACAGACATATATAAACCTAATCATATTTTGATTTTGTCTCACCAAAATGTCGTAAATATGTTCTGAAAACAATGTATTATCTTCTGAAAACAATGTTGTTTAGACCGTTAATCAACTATTTGAAAATAAATAATGTCGTTTTAATGTAACAGAGAATATTTAAAACAATCACGTCGCAATTAAGATATATACGTTATACTGTGTAAATATATTGTATTAAATATTTTTGTATAAAACGTTTCGTTTCCAGTGAAATTTTCAGTATTAAAAACCCGATTTCGGTTCGAGAAAACTTCCGTAGAACCCAATATTTGTTACACTTTTATTATTGTTAAAAATTCATCGCGTGTAATATATTTTATTAAGAAAAGTCTTAAATAGTAGTTATTAGATATTAATGTATTAATTGAAGAATTTTATTTTGATTTTCTCTTTATGATATGTATTATACCTAATGAATTTGGAGCCATGGAGTTTGTAAATATAGTCATGTAATATGAACATTGCGCGTCTGTCAGCGAATAAATTTACTTAAACCATCAATATTTGTATTGTATACTTTTATCACATTGCAAACGGATCGACACAAAATAGTTTTTTTGTTTAAATAATATAGGATCATACTAACACGCTGATAAGACGTTTTGAAGAAAAATGTCAGCATTATGAATGCTACGAATTGTGTAAAAAACATTAAAAACCTAAAAAAAAAGTTTCGTATTTTATTTAATACAAATCCTCTATCGATCAATATTCAATACCATAAACTACAATATCAGAACTGAGGAGTTGAAAGGTTACCTCTATGTACTAAATTAATTTCAGATAGACAAACAAATTTTACTTAATTGAAAGAACCTGTTAATCAATAAAGTAAAAAAATACCAGGAACACAGAAACAATAGAATGTTTAGATACCGTTACTACGGCGTAGCGCGTAGCCAAACGTAGCGGGTACGGGCGTGGCATCGAAAATGGCGGCCGACAGTGAGTAATGGCACATTGCGACGGGTCCAGTGACGCGTACCGCAGGGTTGGCGATTACTTGTTTTCTATGTGTAATTTCTACGAAATCTGTAGCATACACGAATAGTTCACGTTAAATAAGGTGGTTTTAACGATTTAAGTCGCGAAATATCTTGATTAATTAATTATTTTCTAATAGTTTTCACATTTTTAACCGTTAAAAGTGTTTTGTTAACACTATTATTAGAGTTTAGTCAAATTACGTAAACTTACAGAAAGCTACTGTTTTATTTATGACCGCCTGTTTCTTTTTCAAACTCACAGCAGCAACATTCCATAATCCTTGCAAATCATACTACCTTAAATTTAAATTAATAAGCTATCAAAGGTGCGAAAAACAAAATAAAATTTTTGTTTGTAAATATAGCATTTTACTCTATTAAAACTTCTGAGTTTTTCAAAAAGGTTTTTCCCTTCTGCCAGCCCTTGTTTTTTTTTCCTCTGAAGCGCTGTAAGCAACGCACCGATTGTATCGCTCGCGGATGCTCCGAGCGGCCCATTTGTCAACCTTAGCCTCCCCCGCACCACCCGCCACATCCCCAACAGTAACACAAAGAAACTCAGATGTTACTAGTTCTAGTTTTTTGTTCTCCTAGTAGTCCAACTTTCTTATACCAGGCAATATTTTAAGCAACAATAAAAAAAACAGGTTACGCTATAAACAGATATCCACTATTTCTTTAGGTCGACAGTATTTTTATCTGTGAAAATATCTGAGTTTGACTCTAAGACGCACAGTTAAACAATTGACATAAAAATTTATAATCTGCATTACAAAAAGGTGGTTAAAATTTAAGATAAAATTAGCAAATATATACCAACCATTTAAATAAAACAATTTAACGGTTTAAAACGCGATATATTAGTTAAACTTATTTGAAAATGATTTTTAACTTCGGCCCGACGTTTCGGATGCTTTACAGCAGCCGTGGTCACGGGGAGACTCAATCAAAAGCTCTCTGCAAAGCATCCGAAACGTCGGGCCGAAGTTAAAAATCATTTTCAAATAAGTTTAACTAATATATCGCGTTTTAAACCGTTAAAGTGTTTTATTTAAATGTGTTCTACTCGCTTAATATAACGTATTTATACCAACCATTTTCAAATAAGAATGTACAAGGACGCCATAGGACAACATCATGCAGAAGTACAAGAATTATAGGTGCAACATGGGAATATATAATTAAATTATGTCACGTTACATTTCTATACATAAAAAGATGAACCTAGTAATAAAGCACCATGATTTTCTTAGCTTATCCGTCCACTCTATAATAGTTAATCTATTATGGAAATTTTGGCTTAAAATTAAAGCTTAACACAGTTATAGCAAGGTATTATATAACTTAGGCTTATTTAAGATGGCCCGAGACATGTTTATTGGTTAATTAAAGTTTTACGTTCAAACAAACAAGTGGAGACTACGGTTAGCAAATAAAGTGATAATTTATTTATTTCCGTTCTATTTTATTGCTGCTATTATGTACTGTGGAAATTATTATAGACAACTAATTATAATTATTTTGAGACTTAGTAAATTGAGCGAAATTTAACTGGTCTTAGCATATGGCTGAATAACCATATATTATTAGCCACTTAACTTGTGCTAAAGAGTAAAATTATTATTATTATTTTAAGTTTATTTTGTATAGTTTAACTATTTAGTACTTCTTTTTGTTTTAGTTGTGCACTTCTTGCCTATTGTCTAGTTTTAATAATCATTTAAGTTTCTTTCTACTCGATGGCCTGAAAGAGATCGCTCATAGCGATATATAGTTTTAAAATTGCATAGTTGCATATCTGTATGTTCTGTTTTTGTGTACCTAAGTGTGAAATACATAAAAACATC